ATAGCAATTCATGATTATCCTTCAAAAGGGAGCTAACTTTGAACGTAGAGCTGATGACGACATCCGAATGATGTCAGAATCCAAATATCAGTGGAGTTTTGGTCACCGAAAGCAGTATCGCATGCCTGTTTTGACCAACGACCCTGCGTGCATCGATCAATACCCGCGAGAAATCACTATAGTTCAAACGTTCTGAATACTTGCCATAGGGTAAAATGCGTAATATTTGTTTTTAGACTCAAGGCTGTCAGTTTCACAAACAAACATAAAAGGCAATTTGCGTGGCTGATGTACACAAATTACTTTAGCATTTCCTGGTGTGTGAGAATGATAGGTAACTCAATTCATTTGCAGGCCACCAATATGGCCCAGCAAATAAACGCGAGAGGAAAACTGACGTACGAGGCAGGTTTCCTTCCATCAGCTTATTCTTAGCTTCCGGTGGCACATGGTCGCAAGCTCACAGACAGCGCGATAAGGCGGCTGGTAGTAAAGCTCAAAGCATATACGTTTGGCTATTCATGACTTGATTTGGTCTCGACTAAACTACGATATAAAAACGCTCCAAGCAACAAGGCTCACCGCAAAACTGTTGAAGTATCCCTTTCCATGACTTGATTGGTCTCGACTAAACTACGATATAAAAACGCTCCAAGCAACAAGGCTCACCGCAAAACTGTTGAAGTATCCCTTTCCTTGTGGGCCCAGAATTCCCATTGGTTATTCATCATGCGTATCAGGTTGTCAAATTGTCACCCACAATTGATGCAGGGCAAACTACGCGCCGGAAGCGATCCAGCGAAATAAGCAATAAGAAAACATTTTAATTAAACTAGCGTCCACCCCCAATTCCAAAGGTGACGTGCGCTCCCCCAAACAAACTGTCGAGGTTTCCTATTGATTAGCATGAGTTTTCGATCCGATCCACAACGCGTTCATACAAACATCCGTAGTCAGCTGAACTTGTCGGTTTGTTTGTATACTATTCGACCGGAAACTGTAAGCAGCGGCTTCGACGTGATGAAAAAAAAAAGATGACAACAATTAGACGTGGCGGCAAACCGATAGCCTTCCAGGCAACCCAACGCGGCCTCGATATGGACCGTTTAGCTGAATGGGCCATTGGGAATAAATGTAGATGAGCGCTTTCAGAATTCCTGGCCAACTAGGAGAGTGCGTCAGGTTGTAATTCCCGCATTTTCACTGCACTCTGACAACTTACTTGGGGAAATAGTACATTCTCGCCAGTCACTTTGGCTTATTTTCTAATGATTTCTCAGTTCGCTACGTCGAACTGATAGTAATTGGACTAGCTGATGATAGAACACGCAAGAACGTCATCTGTTGATCTCAAAATTTCTTCTCTTTTTAGAGGTAGCTCAGTGTTTAGGTGCGAAATTACTGATCCGATGGTCCCTGGTTCGAACCCAACCCCGGCATCTCTAGGCTGGTATCTGTCTAGGCTTAGGCAACCTGGCACCTAAAGGGCGCTACAGCTGCACTCTGATTATTAGTTATTCTCTTTCTCAAACGTCACCGCACTCCTAAAACCTTGAACGGCAAGTTACATTTGATTCGCACCAGCCTACAGTCAACCGCAAGTGAGGAAAGTCGAGCTGCGCTACGGCCAGGTTGTGCGTTCAACAAAACTTTTAGTCGCTAGGACCTGTTCGTGCCAGAATAATACCAAAAAGTGGTGATGCACAAAAGAAACATGTTTTCCGGCAGACAGAACAAGAATGACAGCAACCAACTGATCAAAGATTCGACCGGTGCTTTTGTGGCTTCTGAAGAGCTAGAATACCACCATGGATGACTATGCACTTGTATTGAAACACGCTATTGTGCGTGCATCCTGACAGGTCCATAAGCGCGGCCGGCTAACCGTAATGAGTCCACTGTGGCATGATACCTTGGCCGACTAACAGCTAATCTGGTCTGGATATCGTGGTAGCTGCATCAAGGCATGGAGTTTTCGAAAGACCTGGAAGTCGGTTCGGCAGCTTATCAGACAAAGGAAGCATCGTGGGCGTCACAAAGCAAAACTGGTCCCGCAGATGAAACTCGTATGATCTTTGGACATCAGAGATACTTGTATCGCCGTTTCGATTACACAAGATCTGCCACTGTACAGTCGAGTACAGATATTAATGTATGAAGAGCGTGATTACGATGGTAACGAGGACGTGAATCAGTTCAATGCAATTACCAATAGTGCACGACCAGTAACCGACACGTGGTCGATAAAACTGGCGTTGCGTAGACGAAATTTCATGAAAGAACACTACTCATAGGGTTGTTGAAAACTTTTCTGTAGCCCACAGCCTATTTTCGGGCTCATCAGACAGACCATTCACCGAGCTCCCGTCAAACCGTAGTTCTACTTGAACCCGAATTGAGCGCAATGCGCGAGGTACAGTCATTTGTAAGCTAATTTGGTTTTAACAAGGATTTCACATAATTTGAGTAGTTTCCCAGACCCATTTATTCAGAATGCCTTCCAGTATCCTTATTGGACGTAAGTATATGGGAGCCGTCACCATACCCCGAATAGCTTGGATATTCGAGAAATACACTCATTTGCAAATCAATTTGGTTTTCACGAGAGAATCAACTGAATATCTCGTTTATGGTATCACTGTATTTATCGAAAACAGTCCAATTTGGGTTCAAGTAGAACATAAGGTTGACGGAAACTCGGAGATTGCGCCTACCTGATGAGCCCCAAGAAGGGGGAAACCGGTGGTGGGCTGTCGAAGCGCTTTCAGCAACCTTGTGAGTAGCTTGAATATTCCCCAAAAACTCATTCACGACGTTCAAAGCTTGCGGTTTTCTCACCTATTTCCATAGACATCTCTAAAAACCGGAGGTCGGTGAAAATGAGGGCCAACAAAATGGTCTTCCTCTACTGAGCCACCGAGTTCCACTCGCGTTCACCTCGGACGCGGTAAGGTGCAGCATCATTTCATCAGCATGGGTTACACACAATTCCCCCGCCTATTGAATGATCTAGTGTTGCAGCGGATGTCTGCACGGCAAGGGTTCAAGGTGTAACCACATGACAGTACTTGCCGGTCACGTTATCAGAAAATCAACAATAAGTGATCCGACAGCTTTCATAGCAAAATATCCACCCAGGCAACATACCCCACCCTAGTTTTAGCGCCACCAGACTGTAACAACCTAGGTTGCATTTAGCCCGAACTCTTTTTGTACGAAACGTGCTTCTCATGTCCGAGTTGGTCCCGGGGGTGGGATGGTTCAGTGGTTAGAGCGCGAATTTACTGAGTGGAAGATCCGTGCTTCAAACCCGACCCCTGCCTCTCAACTCTCGTTGTCTATGCGACCTGGCAGTATCCCAGCCTTCGTGCTTCCTTTGGGTGGCATGGAAGCTAGGCACTGAAAGGGTGTTACAGCTGAACGATTAGACCAGTTGACAAACAACCCAAATCATCCATAACGAAACATGTATTCGGCATCAATTGTACCAGAGGGAATTCGGTGTCTTCAATCAACTAGAAAAAGTTTCAAACCGATAGAGTAGTCATCTCTTCAGAAAGGCATGGTAAACAAATGGTAGTTTTTATTTGCGCAACGTTTCGCTTTTCACACAAAAGCTTCATCAGGTCAAGTGAACAGGTCACCAAGGTCTATATAGGACAGACTGCCAAGGAACTTCACATCAGAATCGGAGAGCATAGTGGAAAAATAAACAGGCCGCCGAGAAACGCGGACGAATAATCAAGCGTTGCTGAAAGACTCGGCAATCGCGGAACACGCACTGGACACGGGACACAAAATAGACTTAGAAAATGTTGAGGTTTTGAGGCGAGGACTACGGTCCACGTCACAGAGACTGATAGCCGAGGCGGTAGAAATCGCCAAGCATCCCAGTGTTAACAGAATAGAAGGCGTAGAACTGGCAAGCGTGTGGAGAACGGTCTTGGGTCAATTGAGCTAACACGTGTTGGTGTGCGATTATCAAGGGGAAGAGTAGTCATTATCTGGATTCCACTTAACCTTACACACCTCTCCTCCCCCCGACTAAGCTGCCGCAACATTCACGTCCACGAAGATCAAGGAACATCTACCAGTGGAACCCGAGGTGAATCATCAAGTGAAACACCCGTGAAGTGGAAAATTATGGGACAAAAAGTGATCGGGACTAATTTGGAACTCCTCCAACCTATCAATTAAAAAATTTTGGCACCCACACTAGCCGACAAGAGCTGTTAATTGACACTCAACACTGATCTAGTGTGAAGAGGACTTACTGATTGGTTCCCCGGCTGTCTTATAATCTGACCAATTTGGTGACCTGATGAAGCTTTTGTGTCAAAAGCGAAACGCTGTCCAAACAAAAACTGCAGATTGTTTACCATGCCTTTCTGAAATTCGGTGTCCTTCACTAGGTAGGGACACTTACTGGCTATCAGGTGACTGAAGACTAGATGTTTATACCCAAAAGGAGATGGGTCTGCCGTAGCTCTCGGCAGAATAAACAAGCAGACCTTGAACGAGACGCCTTCTCTTCTTTGTGACTACAGCCTCCGGTTGCTTCCCTTTGGACAATCCCCAATTCACCTTCGGTTTGACGATTGAACATAAATGTTTCCCTTCGGCGATCATCACTTCCGTTTTAGGACAACAGAGTACATCCGGTTTCAATGGTGTCCGCCTATTCACTACTCACCAGAGTATCCTCATTTTCTGTGACGACAGTGAGTG